GCTCGGGAGGAGCCCGAAATAGCTCCAGCTTCCAGGCAAAATGAGTGTGGAGGCCGCTGGTTCCATTCGTTGCGCTGCCTTCCCCTGGTTATTTTGGGCTGCATGGTAGTGAGGTGGGGCGGGGAGGGGGCTCTGCTTTTCAGTTCTGCTGCGTTGCTAGGTTTCTAATGGAAAATCTGATTTTCTTTGCCAGAGGACAGAGAAAAGTCCCGGAACAGGCGCTGATCACAGCCCCTGGATCCTCCAGCCCTGGGCACCTGCTTCCCATTCACACCCGGACAGGGCATCCAGCAGGTGCAGTCTGAGGAGGGTCTGCCCGGCGCTCAGCTCAGAATGAGGAAGCCTGAGCCAATCAGCACAGCCCATCTCCCTGTCCCCCTTCAGTGATTGGCTCAGGAACAGGCAGATCATCTAATCACGACCAATGAGACTTTGCCTGGGAGAAAGAGGTTCCGGCTCGTTATGGAAGCGGGCATCTATGAGCTTGGGCTTCTGGGGTCCTCTTGTCACCACGGGGGCTGCCAACAACTGGGCCAAGGTAGAGATGTGGAGAAACCAGAATCCAACCGGCTTTGTTTGAGCCTGGATCAGGCCACACCTGAAGCTTGCAAGATATTTGTAGATTTTGATGTCTGTGAGCTAAAATAAGTTTTTTTTTTTCCTTTCTTTCTTTAAGAAACTCTTTCTAGTCGTGTTTGGCCTTCAGTAAAGAAAGTCTTACCTGAGCCTGAGCTGCTGCAGAATGTCCACGCAGGTCTGTGGACCACCACGGCTGTGGGAACACTGGCAACTTCTGGAATGCAATGGGATTTGAGGGGCGGGGCTTCTCTGAGGCCAAGACTTAGGACGCTCCCGAGTCTTCTACACTTGACCTTGGCGGGATCCCAAGGGCAATCAACGCTCCTGGCATGGTGGAAGGCTTTGCTGACGCTGTGGGACAGTTCTGCTCCGGAGGATGAGCCCTAACAGAATCTCAGCCCAGAAACGTCCAGGGCATTCATTCCGCCACCCGTGTCAGCGGTCATTAGATGTCCCTGGCACGGGGAGGCCAGCCGCAGAGTCATTTCTTGGGTGCCTCCAAGGAGGGAGTCCTGGCTCAGAGAGGGGAAGTCACCCACGTACTAGGACAGAGCTGGCAGAACACTCAGAGCAAGATCCGATCAGAAGACCTTTCAGTACACCGGGGACGTCCACAGGGCGGGGACATTCTGGGCCGGCGCTCTGTCGCCTCCAATCGCAAAGCTAGAAACCATCCGCTTTTAATTGCCTTTGGGTCTCTCTGGATACATCCAGAAGAAAGTCCCCGTTTCGTGCCAATAGATCTTTAACTAACCCTGGCTCCTGTGCCTTCAGGACGCGGAGCCTCCTGCTCTGAGCCCCAGGCTGGGGACATGGCGGGGCTGCAATTGAGCGAAGTGGTTGTGGTTTTGAGTATTTCTAGTGATTAACCTCTATTTAGGGAAAGGCGTATTGATTTCCTATTTGCAGGTGAGTTAACTTCCCAGATAAACAATTTTCACTAGAAAACGAAATCAATTCAAGGAAAAATAAAGCAAATTTGGGAAAAATCGTGAAGGTGGCAATGACTTAAGTCTGGGAAACGGTGCCAAGTTCTCATCCGCTGAGCCCCCGATTTCTGCCTTATCAGCTAGGAAAATGGGGAGCCCGACCTAGAAAGGAGAGTGGCTTCCCCTTCCTTTCCTACCCTCCCCCGTATCCCATCTCCCCCAAACCCACCAGGTCAGCTAAGGTGCTCCTGGCCAGGGTGAGAGGGACCCCCGGGCCTTCCTTATCTCACAAGTAGGGTCACCAGCAGGGCACAGAGGTGGAAGGTGACCGTCTAGGATAATAGTCCTATGCAGGCACAGAGGGGTTCCCCATGCTCAGAGCTCGGTCCAGCAGGGTCTTCTGAAGTTCAAGAAATGCGATTTTTATCTCCCCCAAGACCTGTAGGAGAAAGTTCCGAGCATCTCTGCCAGTGACATGTCCTTCAAGAGCAGAGTGGGTAGAAATTGAGTGGAAATGAGAGGAACTGCTGACACAGGCAAGGTCAGGGCACATCTCAGGCAGAACGCTGGCTCACCCAGGGAAAAGAGTGCGTGACTCCACCCCGGGAAGGTCAAGGGCAGGAAAACCCATCTCCAGGGAGGGCAGGGACTCATCAGGAGACACAGAGGAACTTCGAAGGGGATGAGAATGTCCTCCCTCTTTTCCTCCGTGATGGCTGCAGGGTGGCTCTAGATGTTTGTAAAAACTCTTTGATTTTTTTTTTTTTTTGCACCTGCGAAGTTATCACTCGTAAAAAGCTTCTCTAAACCCCGTCCCCCTAAAATAAGGATTTGGGATTTAAGGATCAATGAAGTAGTCTATGAACATCAACCGAGTCCTAAAGGAGCGTACAAGTATTATAAGAACTAGGTAGATGGACGGGAAATAAATAAAGGACCATAAATTCCACTAGCAAAGGTAACCGCTGCCTCCTGGGGTCCTGGGCCATGAGAAAGTAAGGACCCTTGGCAATGTCCAGCAGGGCATCGTCAAAATCCCTCGTTCATCCACTGTTTCTCTAGAGCGTCATTAATTGTTTTCTTATCTTTTCTTAATTTGTATTTGGCTGCCACAAACTCGTGGCTTAAAACCACACTATTTTATAAAAGCTCTGATGGACAGAGGCCTAAAATCAAGGTGCCGCTGGGCGAGGTGGCGCACGCCTGTAATCCCCGCCACTCAGGAGGCTGAGGCAGGAGAATCGAAAGTTGAAGGCCAGCCTCACCAATTCATCGAGGCCCTGGGTAACTTAAAATATAAAAAAGGGGCTGGGGATGTGGCTCAGTGGTCAAGCACCCCTGCGTTCAATTCCTGGCACCAAAATATAAAAATAATAAAAAAAATAGATAAAGTCAAGGTGTCCACAAGGCTGGCTTCTTCTGGAAAGTTCTGTGTCCTTGCTTCTCAGGTCCTAGAAGCCACCTACTCTCCTGGGCTCCTAGATCTTTCCTCATGTCACTCCCAACTTCTGCTTGTGAGGTCATATATCGTCCTCCTGTCTCTGCCCTCATTCTTCTCTCTTATTAGGACCCCTTGGGTGACACCAGCCCTGCCCTATCTGGATAATCCAGGACAGTGTCCCCATGACAAGACCAAGTAGAAATGCCAGGTTCCTCTGGCCACAGGTTTTGGGGTTAGACCACAGGCAGCTTGGGGCGGGGGCAGGAGCCTTATTCAACCCCCCAGTCTTTCAGAGAAGGACGGGGGAGCCCTTCAACAGCACGGACTTGGACCCGGGTGGGATCTGTCAGGAGCCGACCACTGAGCCACCTCTCCTCAGCTTCGTGTCCTCGGAGGCTCGACCCGGCCTCTCCTGAAGCCTCAGATTTCCCATCTACACCAGTGGGCTGTCACTGCATTTCCTTGGGGCTGCCAGAAGGAGCTGCAAGGGACCCGTGAGGCTACTCAAGCAGATTCGGGCACACGGTGAGGGGCTCAGCAAGTAGCCCGAGACCTCGTGACGCTCAAGGGACAAACGATCTCAATGCAAGAAGCCACCTGCTAGGGTGGCTTGGTTCCCTAGGCCTGTGTGACTTCAGACTCCTTCACAAACTTCCCGGGAGGGTCCCCGGGAGACGACCCCCTCCAGGAAATGACGGGGTGCGTCCTTCGGGGAGCTGGGAGCAGCTTTCCTGGTGGGTGCCCGGTGCTCATCCAAGGTGGCATCTCCTTGGCCCTCGGGGGAAGCGGACCCTGAGATGCAGAGAGGAAGAGGGTCTTAAAGTCCTTTGCCCACAAGCGGAACTCCGTCCCCACACAGGCAGGGCGAGCGGATCCCCTTGGGAGGAGGAAGCTTTGTGAGCTCAGGGACCAGAGATGTCACTTTCGTCCCTGGCTGCACAGCTGGAGGTCCCCTGGCTGGTCTCCAAGGCGCCTGCCGCCATCACACCAGCCAAGATTCTGAACGGGGGTGGCCACTCCTCCCTGGAGACGCGGCAGGACTCTGAGCCGGGTGCCTCCCGGGAGAAGCCGGGGAGGGAAGGACAGGACCGAGGCCACTGTCCCCAGCAGGCTTGGAAGAGAACCTGCAGCCACTGGCCCGGCCCTCTGCGCCACAGAGCTCTGGGACCAAGGGTAGGGCTGGACATGGACACTCGCGTTTGATTCTCTCGCTGCCACTTGGCCCTAGGTTTCCTTTTCTGTGAGCCTTGATGTCCCCGTCTCTAAAATGGGGAAGATGGCCATGCTTCTGGCTGAGATGAGGGTCCGACTGACCCTGTGCCACAAAACCGAGGTGGACTCTGCAGGTGCGGAGTTTCATGAGCTCTTTTGACCAGGAGGAGTTTCCATTTTATGGGTCAGGGAGCCAAGGGCCCAGAGAGGGACAACAACCGGCCCACATCACACAGCCCAGCTTGTTTGAGGACATCTGGTTCTGACCAGCTCTTGAGCCACCGCAAGTGACCAAGAGTCACAGGGCAGAACAGTGTCGTGACTGTAAGGACAAGAATGGCCACTTGCAATGGCCACTTTGTGCCAGGCTCTGGGCTGAGCCCTGGCCTGTGTGAGTTAGGATTTCTAACAAAGCCGAGGGGCCGGAGCCACAGAACTGTATTGTCACACAGCTCTGGAGGCTGTCACACAGGTCTGGGATGGAGGTCCTGGCAGGGTTGGCTCCGGGACACTCCCCTCGCTTCTGGGGGGCTGCCGGCAAGCTTTGGCGCTCCTTGGCTGGCAGAGGCGCCCTGTGTCTGCCCACTTCTTCTACCGTCTTCCACGGCGTGTGTCCACGTTTCTCTTTCTAGAAGGACCCCCGCCACATTGGGTGGAGGGTTCCCTGGGCTCCTCTCTGACCCCATCTGAACCCAGCCAATGGCAATCACAAGGACCCTATTTCCACACAAGGCCACGTTCTGAGACACGGAGGGTCAGGACTTTTCCACACACGGATTGTGGTAGGTGGGGACACCAGCGAACCAGGCCACCTCCGAATGCACGGTGCCATCTCCTACCTCAGCTCTGCTGGGTCAAGGGGGACCGGCGTTTTCTCAGCCCTGCTGAGGTCACAGAGCGGGAGACCCGTCACCAAGGTCACAGACATGCCGGGCGTTCATATCTTCAATGTCAAGCTCCAGTTCACAGCAGGATGTGACCCCCCTGTACGCGGAGAAGCGTCGGCATTATTGTGTGATCGGTCCCTGCACCGTAGCCTACAGGACACCATGTCACATCATAATGCCATCCCATGCCAGGCCAGGTCCTCTGTCACTTGGTGAAGGACCACAGAGGACAGGGACAGGATTCCTAGCTCTGGGACGAGTTAGAACCAGCCGCCCTCCTGCAGAACCCAGGGGAGGCGCGTGTCCACCCTGGGTCCTGGGGAGGCTGGCACTCAAGGCCCGGCTCCGAGGCCAAGCAGCCCGCCCTGGTCCCCCCAAACTCCTAAATCAACTCTGAGGCTGTGAGGAGTGAGCCTCGGTGCTCACGTCACCACGAGGCCCCCGGCAGAGCCCTGGTCACACAAACGCCTTTTCTCTTGGCCCAGGGCCCTCAGCCAGAAACCCCCCAACCACACCAAACCCTCGGAGTCCGTCTCCAGCCAAGGGGTCGTTTGGGTTGGAAAATAGTTGACACAGAACAAGGCCCCCACGGCGCCGTCCCCAGTGAGAAATGCTTCATCAGCCTCCAGGGCCCCTCGGGCAGGAAGACAGAGTCCCTCCTGGTCCTGGAGGACTAACGGGCCTCCCATTCAGACCACCCTGAGCAGAGGGAGCTGGCTGTGGCCGTCACTAGTGCGTTTACTCAGCATCATGGGCACGCAGCCTTCAGTGGGTTTGTTGAGCACTTACTAGGAGCCAGGCTCTATGTGCTGGGAAGGAAGGGATGGCAAAAATAGATTCCCTGCCTCCGTGGGCCTCAGCATCCAGGGGCCAGCGGCCAGCGTAGGGTGTGGGACTCCAGCTTAGCCACTTTCCTCTCTGTGCCTTGGTTGTCTCCTCTGGAAAATGGGTGTCAGCACTCACCCCTACCTGGAGTTGGGAGTTCGGAAGGAGGTGACCTAACGCATGGGCTCAGAGCAGAGCTGGGTATGCAGAAGGCTGGTCATCATGGGGCTGGGCTGGGGAGGCGGGAGGGTGAGGGAGGGCTGGCTGGGTCCAGAGTGACCCCTGGGGAGAAGGGGACACTCTTTGGAGGAAAGGACACTGTCAGCAAGCCTTCAGAGGCAAGAGAGGCCAGCTCAGCTTCAGAGCAGCCAAGAGGCTGCAATGGCTGGGGCCCGGGGAGTTGTGGTTTTATTCTAGGGCACTGGGGAGCCACAGAATGTCCCTCACACGCAGACGTGTGTCTCAGGAAGTTGTCTGGCTGCGCCGAGGAGGACGTTACAGAATCGAGGCAAAAGACAAGACAGAGGTGGCTTGGATCAGCACACCTGTCCACACAGGAAGGATGGACAGGGCGGTGGGGGATGGATGGGGGTGTGTCCCGCTCTCCACTGTATCTCTAGCACCTGACACATAGCAAGTGCTCAATAAAGAGTTGTGGATTGAATAGTGTGGCAGGTGAGGGAGAGAGATGACCTGGGTAGACGGACCCAGGGCTGGGAGAAGAGACACAGAAGTCACCTAGGTGGACATTCCTGTTTATTCTGCAGGGAACACAAGCACTATTGCCACTTCCATTTTCCAGAGGCTCAGAGACACAAAGCAACCTATCCAAGATCACACAGCACAGAGGTGGCAGGTATTGGGCTCTGCATCTGGGACTGTTTTGACCATTCCTCGCCTGGAGTGTCAGAGCCACGCGGGGGCAAGGACAGGGAGGCACTCAGCATGATGCCAGGTAGCAGCACGTCACTGCTTAGAGACTCCGGTTCTCCCTGGAGTAAAACTCTGCAGCCTTGACCCCCAACACTCTCTCTTCAGCCGCCACCTGCCGCGCCCCTCCTGGGGCAATTTAATCTCTGGGTGTCCAGTTCTCTGGCTCGCTCCAGAAGGGGGGTCAGCGGGGTGAACACAGCGTCAGCATGAATTATTGACCCCGCGCTGGGCTGGCCATCCACGGGTTCTGGCGTCACCCACGCGGGGGCCCGCAGCCTCGGGGAACTAGAGGGTCCAGGCCGGGCCCAGGATGCAGAGGACATCTGTCAAGGGCTGGATGTGGGTGACGAGGCCCATGGTGGCTGCCTGTTGGAGTGGCCCCATGAGCGTCCCAGGAGCTCCAGAGGACTTGTATGTTGTGTCCCTCTTCTCCTGATTTCAAGCAGGTGGCTTGGGACTGGGGACCATCTTGGGAGTACATTTGCAGGCAGGAAAGAGCCCCAGCCCAGGAGTCCAAGGCTATTCTAATCTTTCTTGGGGGGGTATCAGAGATTGAACCCGGGGGCGCTCAACAGCAAGCCACACCCCCAGCCCTATTTTGTATTTTACTTAGAGACAGGGTCTCACCGAGTTGCTTAGCATCTTGCTGCTGCTGAGGCTGCTTTGAGATCCTCCTGCCTCAGCCTCCCTGGGATTAAAGGCCTGCACCACCAAGCCCAGCCTGACTGGTCTTTTTAGAGGTTGGGCCAAGGTCACAAACACAAAGGCCTCAGGGGCCAAGGGAGGCTGGATGGAGTGAGGTTAGTGAAGAACAAACAGTTGGTGCCCCAGCGCCTGGAACTCGGCCCCAGCCCAGATTTGCCCAGGGAACCCCCATTCGGAAGAGACAGCCGACGTCTGGACTTGGATATAGAATAATTCACTTTTTCACTCTTAGAAACTAAAGAATGAAGGGTTAAAAATGTAGACAAGGCAAGAGAGATGGGCAAACATCGGCTTGGCGGGTGGAGGCCCGGAGGGAGGCCCAGGAGGCACAGAGGACCTTAGGGGCAGTGACTTCATTCTGTACAGTGGCGACATGTCAGCAGACATCTGTCAACACCCACAGGCTGTGCGACACAGCCAGCCCCAGGATGAGCCACCAACAACACCCATCTGCATCCACATTGGTTCAGAAGGGCTTGGAAGGTCCCGGCCTCAGGGAAGATGCTCTAGGAGGGGAGGCTGGGGACCCTGGGGTGGGAGGGCCCTCAGTGCTTTCTGCTCAATTTTCCTGTAGCTGAAACCTGTCCCCTCCCCAAGTGAAGTCGGTCACAACAAATGGAGGGCAAAAAAGTGCAGTCAGGGGCCAAAGCCAACAGGGGGCATGGGGGGCGGTTAGAGGGGAGTCCTGCTTTCCCCAGGGCGGGGAGGTCACCAGGCTGCAAGCCATCCCCAGAGCGCCCCAGGGTGCACTCGGAGCCAGAGAGGCCCACTGGGCTGCCGTGGCCCCTGCTCCACGCTCGGGGCAGAAGTCGCCGAGCGTCTAGACTTGGAGGAAAGATGGGCTTTCTGGGGAGCAGGGGGCCCGGGTAAGTCCTGGGGGACATCATCCGTCCTGGAGAAGGGAGCCCTGGGGATGACGGGGACTCAGCTTCTTGCAGCTCAGTCAAGATGCCAAGCTGAATTTGACCTCAGGAGGTTTAAGGAGGCTGAGGTTTCTGGGACACCTGAATTTGGGGGCTTAAATAGATCTCCAGCTCCTCCCCACCCACACCTGTCCGCCCCGGCGGAACTCAGCATCTGTCAAACCAGCAGCTTAACATAGACAGGGCTGGGTGTCAGCTGTCTCCTGGAACAGCTCCGCCCCAAACCACCCCAAATCCACCCACCAGGTGAGTCCCGATGAAGACCCCACTAGGTGCAGGCCACCCCCTGAGTATCGTTCCAGGAGCTGTTATTGGCTGGGTAGCCCTGGGTGCTGAGCTCACCTGATTGGCCAATCTGAGGATGACCAGCTCACCTGATTGGTTAATCCGAGGGTAACCCATAGTAGGGAGGAGGGAGGAGCTCAGGGAGACCAGGAGCTGGTTGGTGACCACCCACCATGAAGTGGCAGGGCCTGGAGGTGACCCAGCCCTGCCTGGCTCCTTCTCCTCCTTGGGAGGAATCCACGCGCCTGTCCTCATTCTCGTTCCATCTGGCCATCTATCGCACGAGGCAAAGCCAAATAAAAAATCTATTTTCAGCGCACGTGAAATTTCCACTTTTGGAGAGCATCGAGTTCGCATCTCCAGACACGTTCAAAATATTGCCTGGGCACGTATTTGGGCGGCAGCAAGTGGCTTGTTGGTGCAGAAGGAGGTGTGTGGGTGAGGGCACCATTGGGGTGTGCCACCTCACACAGGGACCCCGCACCTCCTGAACGGCCTGGGGGAAGCTGGGGATCTTCACGGTTTATCTACGTCTTCCCAGACAGTGAGGGAGGTGGGCTGCTGACGGTAACAGTATTCATCATTGTTAATACACACACACATATATTTTGGTACCTGGGATTGAACTCAGGGGCACTCGACTACTGAGCCCCATCCCCAGCCCTATTTGGTATTTTATTTAGAATCAGAGTCTCACTGAGTTGATTAGTGCCTCGCTTTTGCTGAGGCTGGCTTCGAATTCGCCATCCTCCTGCCTCAGCCTCCCAAGCCTCTGGGATTGCAGGTGTGCGCCACAGCGCCTGGCTCATTGTTAATATCTATGGCTCGCTCTGTGCCAGGCAGCCAGCATGCAAACCATGTGCCGTATGCAAATCACGCTGTCAATCACTCCACCATCCAACAACCAGAGAACACACAAAGCCCTTATTGTAGGACTGGCGTGTGGCTAGAGTCTCCTCCTGCGTGCATCTCCTCCTGCGTGCATCTCCTCCTGTGTGCATATGGTGCCAGATAAACACCAGAATCATTCCCGTTCTGTGGTGCGGTGGAGCCAGCACAGCCCGAGGGAATCCCAGCTTGTCAGATCCTGCCTGAGTTGGGTCCTTGTCCCTCACCACTCACCCATTCGTGGGCTGAGAGCCAAATCCTGTAGCAGGAATTGTCCCCATCACAGAGATGAGGAAACTGAGGCCCCGGAGGATAGTGGGACTTGGCTGAGATCACGGAGCCGACTCAGGACCAGTTCACGGGTCTCTTCACTGCTCTCAGGATGCTCGAGGTGACATGGCGGGCTCATGACAGTCCCAGTGCAGAGATGGGGTTGGAATGGAGGCTTATTTACCACCCACGCGGTCGGCTGGGAGCTTTTCCCTGGTGGTTGTCCAGGTTTGGATCCAAGGGCCCCCGAGGGCGCCCGTGCTCCACAGGGGGACCCGCAGGGGGACCCAGAAGTGGAATGACGGGGCTGTGGGTGCCGGGACCTAATCAGTCCCTCTTTGTCTGGATGGTCCGGCTGGGTGCTCACTCTGGGCGTGGCTGGAGGGCATGGGTCACTGGGTGCCCTGGAGGGGTGCATCGTCCTGTGTCCCCTTTCTCCTCGCTCTCTGCCTCCTGGCCAACACT